AATTAATCTAATTTAACTATTTTCTCAACATTAGGGAGAGGAATTAAGAAGCCGAAAAATGCACAAAAGGATCATTTCATGATTTAGATCCTCTCAAAAGTCAATTTGATCCAGAAGTTTGAAAGATAATTCATTTAAATTCGATTACTGATTAAAGTGATTAACAATATCATGCTAGCTTTATATACTCCAACACGAATTGATGTTTTATATTTGATATACTTATAACACGCCTGAAATGTAAATACATTCGCATCTTAATTAAAAAAAACCCCAAAAAATGAAGCAATTTGCAACAATGGCCTCATTTAATGGGCGTATACTTTAGAAAGTATATAGACATGACAAAAAGTAATATACCAACAAAAGTTCAAATACATGAAATATTGAAAATCGAATATCTCAATAAGTTTTGTCAATTATGAATAAGAAATAGAATCGAAAAGAAAAAGTAGTCGACAATATTTTTGCACAATGTACCATTTCATATTATAAATAGTGAAGATATCGAAATAAATTTATTGAACCATATCGATCCAAAAAATAATTGAACAAAATCCTAGTAAAATTGAATTTACTAGAGAAACTTAAAATTATTGGACTTGTAATCTAAAAATTCAAATGTGCATACTTATACGAAAAGCAAACGAGAAAAAATATAATCATAACAGGTAATGTATGACTTTTAACATAATAAATTTTGTAAAAATGGTGCTGAATGCAATCAAAAGTCCATATCATGTCATCCTAACAAAGCACGAAATTCGAAATGCAATATTAATAATCATCTAGCATGACTATTACTGTCATCTTCAAAATGTTTAATATGTCGAAAGCATATAATTCATGTGATATTATCATGAGGGGAGTAAATATGCATTGTACTCTTTTTTCCTTAACCAATGTTTTATCTCATCATGTGTTTTTGGCAAAGTTTTTAATGAGACAACATTTGTAGCACACTCAAAAGATTAATATACTCTTTTTCCTTCATTAAGATTTTTCTTACAAGATATTTTCTAATGAAGTTTTAATGAGATATATTATTTGTGTAATGACTATCCATAACTTGTAAGACATACCCTCAAAATAATAATCTTATATGTTACAAATTGTTATGACTCTTGAAGAGAGTATGTGACTAATGACAAAAAAATATTTATTAATATTGTCTATGAAGACGATGTTGCTTGAAGGCTATAACAAGAGAACATGAAACATACTTAACTAAAATTGCAATATTGAAGAAATTGATGTAAAATACATGTGTGGTTGGATACAAGAATTTTCATTTATTGAAATTAGGGAAAGCAGTTGTTTTTGTCCCATTGAATTTTCTTGATAGGGTTTTAACGAAACAAATATTTTGTAATATGTCATTCAAGAGAGAGTATTATAAATTATATATTTATTAGTGAATGAATTTATAACTCCTATAACCTTAATTATTATGGCTATTATATCCATTGTAACTGTAATTCTTTTATATAAATATGAAATTTTGATTCTTAATAAAATACAAATAAGTCTATTGATATCTACGTGCTTTTCTTTTTCTCTCTATTTCATAGTAGATTATAGTCTTAGTTGCAATTGATTAAAAAAAATGTGAAAATAATTTGGATTATATTTGATAATTAGCATTTAAGGAGCAATCGAAGGAAATTACAAGTTTCGAGAGTTAAATCCAAACTTTGAAAAGTTTTTGATTCAATTCTAAAATTTCAGAATTTGAAATGGATTAATTGCGGATGATTGTGGAGAATGAGGATTGAATTGTAAATATTTAAAGATGAAGGACCAAATATACAAATAGAAACGGACTCGACTTGAACGAAAGGGGAAGTTCAATGACCAAGTTGAACAAGAAACAAAAATATAAACATTGCTATCATAAGGCCCAAAGGGTGCAAACTCAAATATTTCCGCCTGCAAGTAGAAATAAATATCTATGCGACAGCAAGGCATTGTACCAAGTGATCGCATGGCATAATCGGACCATAAAATTTTTCTCCCCTATTTTGATTCAACATATTTTGGAAATCATTTAAAGCATGAGTTTTTATTTAGTTTTGGGAACTATAAATATGTCTTCATCACCCATTAAAGGAGAGGCTCTTGGGGTAGAAAATTACATATATCCTACAAAGAAGAGGCCTGTGGAAACTTTTGATCAAGAAAAATATATTGGGTAATTGGCGCAAAACATCCTTACCTTTCGAGGTTATTGTGGAAAATTTTTGTATTTAAAAAAGTTCAATGACCTTTTTGGACCTTTGGCAAAGTTTAGTAACCATTTGGACTATTAACTCCTATATTTATTACTAATTTGTAATTTTTTGAAATTTTGGGGTATTAGTTGCAATTAATTCTTTTGTTTTCTATTCTATTCTTTTTCTTTTATTTGAATAGAGGGCAAAATCGTCAAAAAACAGTGAAAAGGACCTTCAGCGCAAGAAAGGTGGTAAATAAGGGCAAAAATGTCAAAAAATGAAAGGTAGGGACGTTTTCCACAATAACCTCGAAAGATAAGGATGTTTTGCGCCAATTACCCAAAATATATTATTTCAAGCTTTGATAGTTGACACAATATTTTCATACATACTTTCACACATCAATTGTTTGGATTGAAGAAGAATAAGAATCAAGGATACCATTAAGGAGCTATTAAAATGATTTAAAAAAAAAAAAATCCATCTTATTTCTACAATTTAATCCCGAGTGATGTTATATAAATTAATTTGTAATTTTGACATTAGGAGATTGATTGTTTTGAACTATTATTAGGAATTTAATGTATTTTCAATTACTTGATTACAAATTGAATTATTTAGTCACTTCTATTGACATTTGAAATTTTGAAAGGGGTGATATGAAATATGTATTTTTAAACTTCACATAATGTTATGAATGTTCTTTGTGATTTAAAGCATCTTTACATATTCACATCCTTCGTAGACGGATGTTAGGGTTGTAAGTGAGGATGGATTTAATTCTATTCGTGAGATATTATTATCAAAAACGTTGATCTTCGTAAAGAATAAGTGTTTTTTAGATAATGTAATCAATATTAAAATGGATGAATTCAGGGAAATTATCCATAAACGCTTGTGATTGAGTAGATAGTTTAATATTTAGATTAGTTACATGTTTAAATTATAAATATAAATTAACAGAAACTATATTAATTATTTAGTTCTCGGTGGGATCAATATTTGGACTCACCTTCAATGTATTACTTATTTTTGTATTTTTTTTATTTTTTTATTTTTTTTTTTTAGTCTTGTTATCGGTTTAGTTAATTCTAGATTTTAATTTGGATTATTTATATTTTATTTTTAACTTTATTTTTTCCTTTTCAGCTGATCTAATTATTTTTCTTGATTTCATTATAGAAAATTCAAGGAATCTAGTGGCTAGCAACAAATTGAGACGAGGGATCCCAAAATTGATGAAGAATAACATGATTCTGGAGGGATCTCTTCGTCCTTCATCACTTTAAGATGAAGAGATGATATACTTATCGAAAATGATTACTTAAACTTGGGAGCATATGGGACTTTCAAGTACAGTGTGTGAACAAATTGGATGAAGCGTCAATCACACTACCGACACTACATCTCAATTCATGTCGATGATTGAGACAAACTTATATAGGAATGAAGCTGCTCTTTGCTCGACATCGTTTGTTTTGTTCCACTCGAACCCTTCGTTTTGCTTTTTGTTGGGTTGTAAATAGTCCACGATGGAGCTCGGGTGGAAAGGATTAATTCATTTCTCAGGGGCAAGGATCTAGGGTTAATGCCAATCAATAAATTGGAACAACTTCGTATATATATCTTCAAGATAGAAATGGCAGAGTTAACGAGCATCTATCATAAACTTGGAAAATCAATTATGTCCGTCAGAGATAAATCTTCAACCTCCATGCCTACGGATAATCGGTACAACAATAAACTAAATCCATTTTTCTTTGGATGGAAGTTCAGAACTAAATGTACTTTGACAATGGCTTCATTAAGCCTAAGGTCGAGCCATGTCAGTTTAAAATTGAGAAGACAAGTACATAGAAGGGAAATTAGGGAAGAACCATGCATGAAAAATGAAACAAAATGCAAGAAATGGATGCTCTATCAAAGGTATTCCAATCCATGAAACAAAGGGGAAACTCGAAAGATGGGAAAGAACCAATTTTCAACATATTACACTATCACAACGAAAAGGAACAAAATTTTTCCAACTACCTTTACTGATTCTATATAAAAGAGCAACAAATTGAGACGAGGGATCCCAAAATTGATGAAGAATAACATGATTCTGGAGGGATCTCTTCGTCCTTCATCACTTTAAGATGAAGAGATGATATACTTATCGAAAATGATTACTTAAACTTGGGAGCATATGGGACTTTCAAGTACAGTGTGTGAACAAATTGGATGAAGCGTCAATCACACTACCGACACTACATCTCAATTCATGTCGATGATTGAGACAAACTTATATAGGAATGAAGCTGCTCTTTGCTCGACATCGTTTGTTTTGTTCCACTCGAACCCTTCGTTTTGCTTTTTGTTGGGTTGTAAATAGTCCACGATGGAGCTCGGGTGGAAAGGATTAATTCATTTCTCAGGGGCAAGGATCTAGGGTTAATGCCAATCAATAAATTGGAACAACTTCGTATATATATCTTCAAGATAGAAATGGCAGAGTTAACGAGCATCTATCATAAACTTGGAAAATCAATTATGTCCGTCAGAGATAAATCTTCAACCTCCATGCCTACGGATAATCGGTACAACAATAAACTAAATCCATTTTTCTTTGGATGGAAGTTCAGAACTAAATGTACTTTGACAATGGCTTCATTAAGCCTAAGGTCGAGCCATGTCAGTTTAAAATTGAGAAGACAAGTACATAGAAGGGAAATTAGGGAAGAACCATGCATGAAAAATGAAACAAAATGCAAGAAATGGATGCTCTATCAAAGGTATTCCAATCCATGAAACAAAGGGGAAACTCGAAAGATAGGAAAGAACCAATTTTCAACATATTACACTATCACAACGAAAAGGAACAAAATTTTTCCAACTACCTTTACTGATTCTATATAAAAGATTCTACTTGTTAAATTGCATCTGAAACTAACTCTATTCAATGTGTTAACTTATCTGATTTTTCCAAAGGAACAAAACTACTACGGTTATTAGATGGGTCATCTCCATAAATTATAGTTTCCTTGTGGGATTTGACGTGGCCTTCGGGTTTCGGTTGTGGTTTTGAGTGCTTCTCGTCTGGAGGTGAAACGCGAAGCAAAAATCTATGTATCATCTCATAGCTGGTAAAGGTTATGACAGCAGATGGAGTCGTTCGCAAAAGATTAGTAGCACAACCACGATAAAATCCTGTAGGACCTTCCTTTTCAAAAACCTTCTTAATGCAATCGAGAACACCATCATACTGTAATCCAGAATTTCTCATCTGTCCTTGCTGTTGCAACCTCGACCGCACAACCTGGTGAACACATAGTTCAGACATTACTATAGTTTTCAGAAGCAGGTGCAATGAACCTCCCGCCCTTCCAGAAAAATGAAAGGGGGACATGAAGACAAAGTCAAAGCAATATGCAGTCGGTAGGTCCTTTTCTGAAATGTTTTTATGACCATTGACTAGTGACTCGTCAAGAATAGAGGTGTATGGAATACCTCATGTGGGTAAGTTGAAACAGAAGCAATAACTTTTGCAAATGAAGAGGCAATTGCAACTTTCCAAGGGCTTAGCTCATTGGTGCTTTTGTTTTCTGATAAATTGAAAAACACATGATTGAGTTGGATAGCTCAGGCAAGAAATCAGTTCAACTAAAACCATAAAAGAAAGAAATACACAGAACTCAGAAAAAACCATAAAATCTTACCCTGTTTTGCTAAGTAGTACTTCATCTTTTCATATGCAGGGAACTGAATAGCAACATGACTAATCCCGGCCAGAGAAGGCAGAAGGCCACTGTATAAGCCGCATAAATATTTACGTATATACATTAATTATGAGAGAGATACAGATGATCAAGAGACCATGCACCTAATTTTCTTTCACCACAAGATAGAAACATATATTTAGTTACCGTTAGTTTTCACTAATTATACTACTACATTGTCGGTTCAAGCAAAACAACATGCAGCAACCCAACATCACATGGATAGAAACATGGCTCAATTTTTATTTTATGAATAATGAACTTTAAAGCACTAACCTGTACCATCCTCGGATTCCTTCCTCACGTGCAATGCGTCTCAAAGCAGAAAAAATGCTCTTATAAGGAACCACGCCCTGCCTCATTCCCTGTGTCTAAACAAAGAGATGAAATTTTAAATAAATTTCTCAAAAAAAATAAAATAATAATAATAATAAATAAATAGCAATTAAAAAATCTAGAGAAGTGAAAAACATTGTCAATGGGGAAAATCATTATTCAATCTATATCAAATTAATGATACAAGAACCCAGTCCTAAGTATAATCCTTCATCCAAGGGTCACATCACAATTAATTCCCCAAATTATCAAATTATAACTTCTTATCTTCAGATCCACCCTACAATATGGGGGTAAAAAGCCGAAAAAACAAATAAAAAGATTCACAATGGCAATTGGATAAGTCCAAGACCAACTTAGATATGTTCAATGACATCGATGAACAATTAATTAGAAGTAGTGAAATGGTTTCCTACGATCAGTTGGATATAAAGGACTGGGGTTATAAGAACATCCCAACCTACTTGAAGTCGTGTCTTAACAACCCACAATGGATTTGTTGCAATGGATGTTGCAGCCCCAGCTCCCGAAGCAGCTATTATATTTGAACCAAATGAAAGCTGATCATTTTCATCCTCTGTATGCTCACAAGACAAGACAAAAGAAAGGTTCCCAGGTTAGATAAAATAATAAGTGCCAAGACTTCTATTTTTTCCACAACTATAATAATCAAAATTAAGTGGAGGGGTAGTGTAACTCGTGACAACTTTATCTGAAAGTTCTAAGTGAACTTAATAAAGATTGCCAAACAAATGTAGTAGAACACGGACCATGTGAACGCAGCAGCCCTCTGAGGTGTCCATAAACAGTGAAGTAAACCTACAAATGACAAGTGTTCTGTCAGCTATGGAGAAGTAAGAAGAACCGAACAATTTGAACTTCTAATTACATGCACGAGAAACAATTGAAAGGTAACTCTCAATTATAGATATTCTATTATAATCTCAAGTTGGAAAGAATTTAACTACTCCCTAGGCAATACTCACTGCCCAATTTGGAAGTAATGCTGCCAATGTTGGTGAAAGGCCACGGTACAATCCCCTCACTCCTTCATTTCGTACAATGTTCTGTAGGCTTGTCAAAAGAACACTTCCTGATTGTCACAAACAAAGCAAATAGCATGAAATAGGCTACAATCAAAATCTTTGAGCTGAACGAATGAACATGTCAATCTAAGAAGATAGAAAGCTATCTTTCAAAATTAAGACTCATTTGATCTAACATCAAATTCTTTCCATTATAGTAAAGCTCAACCATCCTTCTAAATTCGGGATGCCACACAATTCTATTACAATCGAAAAACCAAGCACTACATTTTGAATTTTCCCACTTACTCAAATATGTAAATTAATAGTGGAATTCTTCGAAGTTATGTCATCCTTGATACAACTATACAAGCATGAAACATTTATGCAATTGCTAGACTAAAGAATAATACTGCTTGTCAATTAGGGCATACAAAATATAACATTGCCATAACTAAGCAGTCTATTTATGGGATGATTGTACAATATAAAGACAGATTTGAATAGTTATAAGTCTTCCTAATTTACCAGCTTAGATCAAGGATAATTGTTGAAAATCAATTTTGCAATTAGCAATGTAATGGGTTAAGAACCCCTATATATTCTGAGGAGCCCTCACAACAAGAGGCATCGAAAATCAAAGATTGTCTACAATTTATAGTTTACATGGTATCAAAGCCAATAATCTAAAGAAAATTTTTGGTAGCTATATTTTGCTTGGGCTTTTACAGTAAAGCTCGATTTTTTGGTTTTGAGACTCACCTTGGTGGACCACATCATTGTGGTAGTCATTGCTTGCTAAGTGGTCTCTCTGTGATGGAAAAAAATTTTGCTCCTGATCTCTCAATGACAAAATCTTTTGGTGTGTTACCAGTAATTTCCGTTACGAAGCTGTCAATGTTTACTACTATTTCTCTTGTCGGTAATTTTAGTTCTCAAGGTACCATTGACTTCTATTGAGGAATCAGCAGCTTCCCCACCACCACCTTGCCCAAGATCTATTCCGGTTCCAGTCGAAGAACCATCGGGCCGATTATTGACCTAGTGACCAGGGTAGAGGGCTTTTCCCTTATTATATTAGTAAAGTTGCTCGAGGCCGGAAAATTTTAACACAATGACGAAGATCTGGTCGAATGGTAGAAGAATCTATGGGTTCGTTAGGAATCAATAGTCGTTGTCTGGGAACCCGCACTTGGTGCAATTGATAGGAGAACCCCCCCGCAGGAAGAGCAGGGTGAGGAGGCAGGCTTCTCTGATTGGAACAATCGCTCTATTCCCTTTGCCTTTTAGGAGTAGGAGCTACACTGTTTGGCTTTTCTAATTGGGAAGACTTCCCGACGGGCCTTCCATTTCCGTTTCAGAAAAAGGCTCTAACAAAACCCCCCGTCGAAGTCCGTCCACCCAATTGAGCTTGATTGGTCGGAAGGAGCCGGAAGTGCCTCCACCATAGTTAAAATCAAAAAAGGATAAACAAAATTCATACCTAAGCCTAGCGGGAAAGTAAGTAAAGGCGGATAAAATAGGACAAGTAAGAGCAAGTCGCTTTAGCTCGGAAATCCACTCCAAAGTTCCCTCAAAAGTTCCATTGACTCATCACAACCGTGCCATCATGGTCGTTTGAAGCCTGGGGGATGTCGTCACCATGAAACTGCCCCCAAAGTTAGACTTCTTTTCCTCGATCAGATTGGGACTGAAGGCTAAGACTTCATATTGAGACGTGATCTTGCTTCTGAGGGTAATGTAATTATCCGTGAGGCTAGCAAATGGAGTCCTGAACTAGCTACTGCTTGTGAGGTATGGAAAGAGATCAAATTTGAGTTTCAAGCAATGGATTGCAAAAAGAAAATACAGATTTCTATACATAAAATTTCGATTTCCAAGCTTTCAAAATAATTTCCCTGTGTGGGTTCAGTGATCTGTTGTTTAATCGACAAATTCAAGCTCGACGATTTCGATTTAGTTTGGTGAGTCGTGAGTGTGGAAGTAGAGTGACGAGCGATTCCTCCATGTAGATGAAATCTTCTGGGCTTCCTTCCATTGGGCCGGCTTATTATCTCTAATTTGGGCTTTGCTTTCTTGGACTAGTATTTGGGCTTTCTACACTGGACCGGTTATTGCAATAATTTCATTAAGTTAATGTTGGGCTTTGCTTTCTTGGACATAGTATTGAGCTTCTTATATTGGGTCAATTTATTACCTTAATTTTGTTATAATCGGTGTTATTAGGTTACGAGTATCATGTCAACTAGCCATTCTAATTCTTTGGGTGCGCGGTTGACCGGTAAAAATTATTTTGTATGAAAATTTCAATTTCGATTATTTGTTATGGGTTAAAGAATTATGGAGTCACGTTGATGGAAGTGACCCAGTTCCCACTGAGGTCTTCAAATTGGCTCAATGGATAGTGAAAGATGCTAGAGTCGTGACATGGATTTTAAGATATGCTAATCCTATGATTGTCCTAACTCTAGACTGCTAAAGAAATGTGGGATAATATAAGAAGGTTTATAATCAAAACACACAGCCAAGCGCTTTCAATTGGAATAAGAAATTGCAAATTACATTCAAGGCATTCTCTCCATCTAGGATTATTGTTTTGGGTTTCAGAACTTATACGGTGAATTTGTTGACATTATTTATACTAAGGTACCAATTGAGTCTCTTGCTACAATCTAGCCAGTTCGTGAATAGAGTAAGCGAGATTAGTTTATGATGAAGTTGCGGCTAGAATTTGAGGCGACTCACTCCAATTTAATCAGTCTCCTTTGAATGTATGCTTTGAGGTTTTACTTTGTGAAGAGCAACGTCTCACAATATAAGCTTCTTTTCAACATCACATAACTTCTAATGCTATCACTTTATGCTGCTCACAAGAAAAGCAAAGGTAGGGACTTGTGAAAGGTCCAATGCTTCAATAGTAAAAATTATGGACATGTTACTCACTGTGCCAAGAAGTGGTGCAACTACTACAAGAAGCCAAGACACATTATTAAAGACTGTCCAACTCTTCCCCAGAATCGCCAAATTATTGCCTATCAAGCTGGGGTTGGTCTTAGTGCTTCTTCCTGTGCAAGTGGTAACCTATTGGTTCTTCAGCTTTTTCTACCTAGGAATTCAAAATAACAATAGTCGAACCTCTTTATCTTGGTTTGTTGACTCTGATACATCTAATCATATGATCAGCTCCTCAAACACTCTCTAATGTTCGAAAATACATGGCTCATCCCACATTCAAATTGCTAATGGGAGTCAATTACCTATTCATGCCATTCGTGATATTAACTCTTCAATTAAAGATGTCTTTGTATCTCTTGAGCTTTCTACTAGTCTCATTTCAGTGGGGCAATTGGTTGATAATAATTATGATGTTTAATTTTCTCATGATGGTTGTCTTGTGCAAGATCACATGTCAAGAAAAATACTTGCAAAGGGGCCTAAAGTTTGACATTTATTTCCTTTGGCTTGTACCACGTCTGGGTCATCCGCATTCTGTTGTTCTATCTCATTTAATAAACTCTGGTTCTTTTTGTACTAAATATCAATGTAAATTAGAAGAGAGAAAATCTCTTTCTTTTCTTACTTAGGGCAGTTATGCTAAACACTGATTGACTTGATTCATAACAATGTGTAGGGGTATCACTCCTATAATATCTAGTGCACATTATAAATATTTTGTTACATTTATTGATGATTATAGTAGATATAGTAGATTTATTTCCTTCGATCAAAATTTAAGGTATTCTCAGTGTTTCAACAATTTGTGGCCCATATTGAAACTCAATTCTCCTCAAGCATCAAAATGTTAAGGTCTGATTTAGGTGGCGAATATATGCCTCATGACTTTCATAACTTTCTTTGAGAACTATTTCCTGACAATCTTGTCCTTATGGTGACAAAATGAGGTCGCAAAACGTAAGATCACCACCTACTAGATGTTTGAACATTATTGTTTGAATATTTTATTCTTTGAAAATTTTGGGTAGAAGCTTTGTCCAGGCAGTTTATTGAATTTTGACACACACTAATGTAGTTGGTATAGACATCCTAGCTAACTTGACATGCATACTTTAGGTTGTGTTGATTTTGTTCACTTGCCACCTCATGAGCGCCACATTATCTACTCGAACTATTAAATGCGCTCTTACAGGTCATAGTATTTCACACAAAGGTTATGTTTATTAAGACCCATGCTCTACAGGTTTCCTATTCCTCGTCATGTTGTTTTCTTTAAGAATCGACCTTTCTTTTCTACTCATTTTGCATCTATGCCTGAAATTATTGCTCTTCCTCAATTTTGATGATGACTCTCCTTATGAGAGCTTCATACTTGGATTTGTGTATGGGCGACAAAGGCCAATTTTGTTCCTTCCTAAATCTCATCTGCCATTTGAGTTTGCTCAGACTATTCCTTGACCTCGTGATTCGAATTATAAAATGTTACTCGTCGATCTACTAAGAGTCTTTCGTCCTCTTGATCGGTATGATTTTTTTTCATATATCTCTTCATGCTACTTTATTATCTACTACAATTTCTCTTGCTGCTCAAAGGTTAAACATGAATATTGGCGTAAGACAATGGCAGATGAACTTCAAGCTCTTCAAGAAAGTCAAACATGGGATGTTCCTTGTCCGACAAATGTTAAAGCTATTGATTGTACATAGGTTTACTCAATCAAGCTGCATTCTAATGGAACCTTATACTGCTATTGTAGAAAAAGAAGAATAAATAATAATAATATTAATAATAATAATAATAATAATAATAATAATAATAATAATAAAATGGATTAAGTGGATTTAAATAATTAGCCCAATTAAATTTATTAAATTAAAGTTTACTAAGGCCCATCTTATTCAAAATCCAAAATTTTTCAATTATTCTTTTTAATTAAAGATAATTGGGTAATTAACAAAATTAGTCACGAATTCCCCCTATAAATAGGGTCGAAGGTCCATATCATTTCACAAGCTAAAGTGCAAAGAAAAATTCAATAAGTACTGAAGAAATTGCAAAACTGAAGGAAGGGAAGAAATCTTCTCAAGTTTTAAGTCTGGCGAACACCAAGGAGATCAAAATCTTCTTCAAATTAAGCAAGTTTAAGTCAAGTCCAAGAAGATCAAAATCTTCTTCAAATCAAACTAAATTCAAGTCCAAGTCTAAGCCCCGGAATCCAAGTACCAAACAAGCCAAGCTCTCAATAAATCAAATTTTCAACAAATTCTCCAAGTTCAAGGTTCATGCCACATATCCTCTGGTCTTCAAACATTCAAATCATTAATCAGTAAATTTTTACAATTATGCAATTACAAGATTAATATCCACTTGTATTTCTCAAAATACAATTTATAACGATTTGTGCATTTTAATACACGAAATTCGTCATACAAATTCCTTGGCATACCCAGTGAGGCCTTCTTGTCCTCTCATTTTTTTATCTCAAAATCTTCAAGTTTCAACCACTACATCAATCATGGCAAGCGAAAAGGCAAAGAACGCTATGATTCATCTTGAAGAGAAACTGAATTCTTCCATACGACCAGAGCCCAAACAAAAAATTAGGAAAACTTAATTGGTCCCACCACTAAAGAAGTTTTCCAACAAAGGCAAAATGAAAATTAATTTCTAAAAGCCAAACTCCTATTCAACAAAGAAGACCAAGAGTTCGGCGAAAAGTTCTCATTTTAGTTCCGCCTCCAATGACAGATCCTTGTCTAGATCCTCTCATGCCACTTCTCTGCAAGATGGAGAGACTATACTTCATCTAAAGAATCACTTGAGCGAGTGATGGTCATGGAAGTGACATCGGGCTCAGATGTCCGAATTCAACAAATGGCTTTAGTCGTTGAAAAATTAATAGTCATTAGAAGACAAAGATGCGCAAATTGCTACACTCATGCACATGCTAGAGTTTCAAAATCCGTCAGTTAAACAAGACTAAGAAAATTCGGGATCTTCCATAGCTAAAGATTTGGAAGTCCAAGAACGCCAATAAATGATCGAACAATTGTTCAAAACGTGCTGTGTGACACTACTCAAACTCGTTGTTGGCTCTCTAACCGTCCAACAACTTCAAAATATGATTGCGGACAACATTAGTGCCTAGTATAAAAGGATCTTGATTTTCTCATGCACTTTTTGGGGTTGGAAGTTCACTCTGATCATTCTGATATAATTTTAAATCATTTCGATATAATTTTAAATCAACAAAAGTACACACAAGACTTGATTAATTTGGCCGGCCTTTAGGATACTCTCCTATGGATAATCTTTTATAAGTAAACACAAAGTATTGTTGTGATGATTGATAGCTGGTGGACAATTTGAATTATGTAACGATTACTTGGCTCGACATTTCCTTCATTGTACAACAAGTTAGTCGATTCATGTAGGCTCCACGACAACTTACATTTGGCGCTACTCATCGTATCATTCGACATCTTTGAGGATCTCTAACCGTAGGTTATTCTTCCCAACAATACTCCCATTCATCTTATTTCATACAGTAATGTGGATTGGGCTAAATGTCCTAACACTCGACGATTTGTCACTGGCTAGTGTACGTTTCTTGGTGATTGTTTGATCTCTTAGAAGGGTAAGAAACAAGCTCGAGTTTCTAAATCTTCTACCAAATTTGAGTACCATGCCATGTCTGCTGCTTGTTCTAAGATTGAAGCTCGGCTTTTCTCAAAATAACCATACTCCTCTCCATGCAGATAATACTAATGCTATTCAGATTGCTGCAAACATAGAGCTTCATGAACGAACGAAGCACATTGAGGTAGATTGTTATTTCATTCAAGAAGCTCTGGACGATCGTGTTATTTCTCTTCCTCATATTTCCATCAACCTTCAAATTGCAAACATGTTTACCAAGGCCATGAATAGACAGCGCCATCAATTCCTTAAAGGCAAATTGATGCTTCTTAATCTCCTAACATCAATTTGAAGGGATGTCAACCAAGGCAATCTATTTATGGGATGATTGTATAGTATAAAGATAAATTTGTATAGTTATAAGTCTTCCTAATTTACTAGCTTAGATCAAGGATAATTGCTGCAAATCCGCATTGTAATTAGCAATGTTACGGGTTAAGAGCCCCTATATTTTCTGAGGAACCCTCAGATTGTATAGTATAAAGATGAATTTGTATAGTTATAAGTCTTCCTAATTCACTAGCTTAGATCAAGGATAATTGCTGCAAATCGGCATTGTAATTAGCTATGTTATGAGTTAAGAACCCCCTATATCTTCTAAGGAACCCTCACAATGAAAGACAATGAAAATCAAAGATTGTCTATAATTTATAATTTACACTGCTTTCCTATCCATAACGATAATGTATCATAAGAAAAATGCCAAGATACAAAAGATGAAATTCCTATTCAGAAAGCGTGAAATAGTTACACTTCCACGATCATACCAAAACTATTGGTGTACAATGAAAATAATTCACCTTAATATCTTAGCATGACCAATAGGAATGTAAAGAGGACTCATTTCTTCACACCTCAATTCTTTTACCAAATAATATTATCACATAGAAGAATTATCGTGGAGATTGGTTGATTAAAACACAAAAAAGGAGTTCTTTCGTCTACTAAGTCAGATCTTCCGGTCTCCTAACTTTCATAGGATGTAAAAGCAAGCCAAAATGGTGAAATTTCTTCTATTTGTACATCCATTGTTCTTCCTTCCCTCCATAAGAGGGGTTTAATATCCTTTTTGCTCCCACTTCAATCAATTGTTCTCTTTCCTTTTCATTTCTCAACTCCCCGCCCCATCCTTACCCGCCATTCCAACAACAAATTAAAAAAAGGAAAAACTACTTTAAAGGTTTGGTAGATAGCAAAGAGCGACTTTTAAGTGATTTTATTTGGTCATCATTGAATAAGAATACTTCAACACTGTGTCTTTGGCAATCCAACTGAAGAAGTTTTGAGTTTCATGCAGCCATGAGCGCAATAAAAATGCTACATGAAACACAAACTTTAGCTTTGTATAATCATGAACTCTAAAAACAAGTCACTAGGTTTAATATTGCTAAAATTAGGTGTCAGTGTCAGAACGATGTATCCAGGATACTTTCATTCGAAATAGACTACGAACAAGAACGAGGTGAACAAAGAAGCTTTGGCGATATCTCGACTTTCAAGTTGCTCTTTTTTCTTTAGTTTATATGAAGCCTTTTCTTTTCAAATGAGCTCTATTTCAATCCTCAATATGAGAGGAAAGGAGAAATGAACAAAGAAAAAATGGAGAGAAAAGTTGTTCTCCATGACACTCTCCCTTACAAAATAAAAATCAATTCAAAAAATTTTAGAATATTTATCATGTTAAGACTGGATAAAAATTTAAATTTCTCTCACACACACATAGGCAGAGTACATGTATTTTGCTCTTTTCTGGAAACATTCATTGAAAATGTTTCCCTCTTTATTTTCTTGTCTTAGTTACTGAAATCCAATATCCAAGTAGACATCGTATTAGAAGTTTCTAAGATATAGTAGCCCTTGTTTCTCGTAGGCCAACTGTCAAACGTTTAGTGTGAGCTCTCCATATCTGAGAATGTAAAGTTCAGGTATAATTCTAATGCTAGATCAAGTTCTCATGAATTACAAATGACACACAAACAAAACCTATTGTTACTGGAGAAGCATAAACCCGTCAAATAGCCGAATCAACACAGGAAAACCAATTATCTTTCCTTTTTTCCAAGAGAAGGAAACATAACAAACCTCTTTGAGAAGGGTGAAGTTCAGGCAAGCCACAGACTTGAAGTCTTGTCTTTATTACATCCAACGGACAGACAAAAGTTGCAGCTATTGCACCTAAACATCATTACAAATACCCTAATTTTCACATCAACGTCCAAAAAAGAAAAGAAAAGAAAGAAAAAACAGTCAAATGCACAAACGCACATATCAAAAATGAAATTAGACAAAAGGATAGAAGGATTATTGCCCGAACTGTAAAGTATCTTACCCGCGGCGGCACCGGCACTGGCATCGTAAATAACCTCTTTGGCGCTCCGATGGTCGCCAGCGGCGGCGCCCATTTTAATATTTGTAAATTAAAATAAAAATTCTCAATCCACAGAGGAAATTTTTAACCCAAAAAAAATCGGTTCAAGAATTGAATGAAAAATAGATATCAAATAAACTAATATTTTACTCCTTTTTGAGCAGTTCTTTGTCAAATTCCCATATTCCCTCCCGTTGTTACAACATTATATATCCACTGACATGAGTTTTGACGCGCCTCCGGGGCAGGGATGTATTTGACACACAGTTCAACGAAGACGGCGCGTGTTTTATACCAGACTCGACCGTGTTTAAAGAAGGAACGAATCTGAAAGCCAGGAACGAGAGATACCTTTTTTTTCTGTGAGGTTCACTTTTTCTGTTCACCAAAAGAGGTAAGTGCGTGGGGGCTTGTTTGACAAAGTCCCTGTTATGATAATAATTTAACGAAATTAGGCCCACAACTCTATAAAAAGAAATAAGGGAAAAATTATTGTTTACATCAATTTATAAATCTGGTAAAAAATTTAAAAATTCAAAATTTAGGTTTCTGTATGATTAACTGAAAATATTTATTAATTAAATATAATAAAATCACAATTACACGATTAATAGCCACAGATACATAATTATTGGTCACAGATTTACTTATTGGTCACATATCATCGAATTAATTAGTTATAGATTATTTCGAGGTCACAAATCAAAAATTTTGTTAGTCACGGATTATTTCGAGATTATAAATCAAAAGTTTTGTCGGTCACAGATTATTTCATTAATCAAAAATCAAAAATTTTGTAAGTCACAACTTACATTATTGGTCACAAATTCAAAAACTACTATAGATCACATGTCATATATTTTCAAATTTGATAGTCACGAATTACTATTTAATGACAAAAATGATCAAATTTCAATGTCACAGTTTACGGTCACAATCACAGAGGAGACCATATAGTTGATCACAAACATCCAGCATCTGATCCCGACACCACCACTGCATCTACCACCACAACAACACCACCACCAATACCAACAACACAACCACCATCGAAAACCATCGCAGCCACCAGGATCACCACGACAACCAGAAAACACCTCCAAACACACCCAATAATACACCACCTCCCAACCTCACCAACACCATTGCACCCACAGTAGCACCAACTAGAAACACCACCACCACTAACAAACAATCCTATCCCACGGCATCCCACCGCCACCACTTCCACGACCACCACCACAACCAACATTACAACCACATCACGCTAAAACCACCAACAATCAGATCCTACTACCAACATCACCACCACAACCACGCCCAAGACCTGAAAATGCAACCAACAGAACCCCAAAATCACTATCTACTGAACGTAGAAGAAGGTCGAGGTCATGAATTTGCTTCGAAAACCAATCGGTGACTATATTGAGGTCCAATTGTACGTCACATTTGCTTCAAGTGACTGCAATCATCACTGCTCTTCGCAGTATCTACAGCGATGCCGACGTTGCGAGCCACTGTGCAACGACGCTCACACATTCAGAGGAAGTTGTCGCTATGACGCTGTGGTCTCCGACGACTGCTCGTGTGATAAAGAGGATATAGAGACGGGAGGGGGAGAGAGAGAGACTAAGCAAAAGACGAGAGGGAGAGAGAGAATGAAGGATGGAGTGAAATGAATTTGAATTTTAGGGTTAGGGTTATGCCAAATATTTGATTAGAAAAGTTGGGCCATGATTTATGCACGGTGAACTTGAAAACCCTGGAACGGTGTAATTTCCTTAAAAAATAAATTAAAAAGGGTGTCCTTGATGGAGATTATAATGGATTTTGAAAATCTTTCTAAATTTGGGTGTCTTCAATTGAAATTTTAATAAGTTTTAATGAAATTCATTAAAATTTAGATGTCTCCAATTGAAATTTTGATGTAGTTCAATGACATCCTTCAAAATTTGGGTTTAATCACTAGTAGACTTATAAAGATTTACTTAATAGAGAGATTTTAAAATATTTGGATAGATTTCAAGCTTAAAAAATGCATGGAATCAAATCTTTTGAAATTTCATTATATTTGGTGTGATTCTTATGAAATTTATGAAAATCTGGTCAAATTTTTGAAACTTATTAGAATTTATAATCTTTTAAATTCTATCAAAATTTTAGTTGACGACACCCTCGTAAATTATAATAAAAATATATAACTAGATAAATCTAAAGAAACAATTTTAACTTTAACAAAATTGAGATTTGATATAAATAAGTTACAAATAAAAGTCATTTAGACGTGTTACATAGTATTAGGAATTTCTAAATTAAAAATGATACATAAGATTACCTTTTAAGATCGTAAGAAAGTAAACTTTCAAAAATTCGCCGAAATGGAATGGGTTGCCCTAGGCGGATCCATCACTTGGCGAGCTGGGGTGGCCATCCGCGATGGATCCATTAAGAAAAATTGTTAATGAAAATTACTGTTAAATATCTCTATATATAAAATTATTGTATCAATCTTCAATGAAACAACGAGCAAGTCTAATGGACAAGCGTTGCTTCTCCATGCAATAACACAGAAGTTCAATTCCCTTCCACAACACTCCACCTCTTAAGTTTTAAACACAGTAAATAATAATGAAATATAACTAATAATCATCTTTACCATTTTATCATACTTTACGTATAAACTTCATCTTATCTTGCTTAAGTTTGTAAAAAAATTTGAAACTTGATCATGCATATATCATTGGAAAATGTTTTTTTTTTCCTCATTGTTTTTGAGTCATATTGGATTATATTTTTAGATGTATATGACTTTTATATTTTAATGTATTTATACATTGATTGAAATTTGTAATATTATTTAAATAAATATTAATGAACAATATTACTATTGCGATCGTCAAGAGTCAACGATCCCCCTCACTGACTCAATATCCTGGATCCACCACTGACTGCCCATCTAGACAACTTTACAAAATTAAGAGTTGCTAATCTCTCCAAATGCAGGTAATTTTTTGTAATAATTCATATTTACCCCCTAAATAGTTTAATAATTTCATATTTAATTTTAAATTTATTTTTTTATTTTTAAAATATTATTTTTTATTTTTTTACAATAAATTTTGTAATACATTGTGTTACATTTTAAATGTTCTAAAACCTAAATAAATTAAAAATTAATTTAATTTAACCCGTATAACTCTTGACAGACCATAGCCAAAAACTTGTTATGATCAATTTTAAAGGTTTTGATTAGTACGTCCAAGTTATTTCTATGTTCGTGGCAGTAGTTTACTGAATATGGAATTTAATTAACAATTTAGAATACAAATGTGACGTGGTAAATATAAAAGAAAAAACATCCACAGATCCCATGCCACGCGTCAAATAATTCACTAATACTTTGATAAAAAAAAAAAATGCAATGATATCCAGTTTTTATTAAATAAAAAAATTCAAAATTCAAAAGAACTAAGAACTAAGAACAACTCACTTTATATTTTCTTCTTTTGACTTGTTGATAAAGTGGAATCAAACTCATCGATATTAACTTTAAGCACCAATATGATTTTGAATTCTTTAAAGATTTGAAGAACACGTTGACTTTGAAATTTATCAATGAAGGTTCGTGTCCAGTCGTTACTTGAAGTTGGCGACTACTCAATTATTGTTCAACATGGACGGTGAAAAATTATTCTCTCAAAGCTTAATTCCTTTCTTTATTCATTAGATTCCCTATAGGTAAAGTAATTATCAAAACATGAATTAATTCTTACATAGTAATTATCAATAAAAACGTTAAGAGAATTAGTATAAAATATACCAAAAGATTTTTATAAGACTATTATAAGTAAAGATAATTTTAACTCAACATATCCTTGTATTTTTCTTTAAACAAATCTGAAAATATCCAGGATGATGTAGAATCTATTCTGCACGATCTATTCTTGTATAACCAAAAAACATATCCTGTTATATAGGACAAAAATACTAAAATTCACAGCTTAAAGATTTTGGTCAAAACCACTTAACATCTCCCTTTGGGGAAGGAGTAAAAGTCATGTGGGAACCTGGGAACCAACAAGGGCACAACCTGCGATTTACCTCCACTAGTCACTGAGGGGCCGGGGGCTAGAGGTCCAGGATTTAGTCCGGCTAAACTGGGACACCTGGGTTTAAAAAAAAAAAAAAAAAAAAAAAAAAAAAAAAGTTATTACTGGCTACTAGCAAAACCTGTGTACTTTTCTTAAAGATTGTCAAGTAAGCCAATATATAAAATATGTAAAAATATATCAAGCCCATCCTTTGACTTTACTTATGCCCCATTTGGCCCCCATTAAAACTCAACAATTTAATTTTAATTTATCTCTTCTATTTTGAACCACAATATCTTCAATAATGGGTTGCTTTCACAAACGGTCACTGAATTTACCTAAAAATTTCAAAGCGATCACTGAAATTACAAACTTTCAGAATCGGTCATTTAAGTTTCGGGGCGGTTTCACTAATTGTCACTTTGTTAAGTTGGTAGCACCAATAGGACCGTTATGATTTTAATTCAAACTTAAAGGACCTGAACAGGTGAACAGAAAACATTGAGGACCTAAAGTGTAAATTTAATCTAACACCCTCTCCAAAACCCAAACAAGAATCTGGTTTATCCTTTGTAATTTGTCAGATTCTTGTGCCAAATTTTGTGGGATGAATCTGGTGCTCGTCGATCTAATTCATCTTGGGAAGAATCGATATTAAATCCTACAAAATTTTATGAGGAGAGTAAGAATACAGATGAAAAGAGAATGCCCACGAGAAGCTTATTGGATCTCCGATGACTGACCGGAGTGGAGGAGGCAGCTGCTGGAGGAGGAGGCAGTTCTTCTCGTTTTGGGTTTGGGGAGTGGGGTTGGGGAGGGGGTTTAGATGGAATTTTCACTTGAGGTCCTCAAGGCTTTGTGATCATTTGTTCTGGTCCTTTAAGTTTGAATTAAAATCATAATGGTTCCTAAGGTTGCTACCAACTTAACAGAGTGACCATTAGTGAAACTGCCCTGAAACTTCAGTGATCGTTTTTGCAAGTTTATAATTTCAGTGACTGTCTTGAAATTTTTAGGCAAGTTCAGTGACCGTTTGTGAAATTAACCCCTTCAATAATATATTATTACATACAAATCGAAAACATTTCATTCTTTTACAACTATCCATTTTTCAAAAAAAAATTATTCCCCCGTTATAAATTCAAATAATGGGGGCCAAACGGGGGCTAATTGACGCCGGGTAGGATAGTGATTATCCTATTGGCTTGTTGTAGCAGATGATTCGCAAGAAAAGAACGACAGAAAACGCCAAAAAAACCAGAGAAAATACTCTGAATTCAACTCAATATTATTAATAATGCAGAATGATGAAA